AGCCACCAGTCATCCATCATGTCCAGCACTTGAGGGGGTTTCTCAATAATTCGATATATTATGTCGTGTGAATCGGACTCTAGAATGTTGGGAGGGACCTCTTCAACGATGACAGTGGCCTCTTGAACGGTGGGAGGGGACTCTTGAGGGATGATAGGGGCCTCTTGAACGATAGGGGAGGCCTCTTGAACGATGACAGGTGAGTCGGGCTTTTTCTTACGGATTCTTCGCACTATTGCGGTGAACAGAGACTTAATGGCATGTACACACCGTCTGATGCGTGAACTCCGTCTTGCAAGAAAAACCCGACGTAGAGCATCCACCTTAGCGGGCCACTAAAAATAAATTAATACAAAAATCAGTAAATAAACAGACATGATATTAAACAGTGAAAACAAAGACAAATATATTTCAAACTTGCACGGTATTCACCCAAGTCATTATTCTATCATTGTTCACAAAATGCATTAGATAACATTCCAGAAGTAATCACTTATATAAACATTTAAAAGGACAACATATAGGTTTAGTGCAGGTTCAATGACAACATAAAGAGTAGTAGTTTATTCTTGAAACTTAAATTTTCAACATTGTGAAGTTAGTATTTGTCTTTGTCTTTTGGTTGAAGTAATGCAATTCATTCAAGTTTTAATTTGCAGAAGAAGAATAGAATCTAAAACTTAAAATCGCAACACGAATGACTATCGCAACGCGAAAATGACTATCGCAACGCGAAAATGACTATCGCAACGAGAGAATTGCAATGCGATTTTCATTTCACATTGCAATTCTTTCGTTGCGATAGTCATTTTCGCGTTGCGAAAGTAAACTATTCTTCTTCTGCAAATTGAAACTTGAATGGATTGCATTACTTCAACCAAAAGACAACCAAAAACAAATACTAAATTCACAGGGTTAAAGAATAAACAGTTTAGCAGTATTGGCAGCAACCGAATGAATTTACTAAGCAATCTAAGTGAAATGGTTAATCTAAGTAAAATGGTTAATCTAAGTGAAATTACGAGTAAATTTATCATCAAGTTAAATATGAAAAATATTAAACTTACCTTGTTGCGTAGAGTATGAACCTCATTCTACAACGATGTTACCATCTCACGTAGAGCGGCAACCTCACCACGTAAAGTAGACACCTCAACACGCCATGCACTATTGTCATCGCGTAAAGTACCGACCTCCTCATGCAAGGCATTGACCTTATCACGTAACTCCCCTAACTCATCCCGTGGAGGTGGAGGTGGAGAACATGGAGATAAACGTTGTGGCATCTTTGCCGGTCGCCTATCATGAGGTGATGGTGGAGAAGAGGCTCGATGATGTGATAGAATAGGTGATGGCTCTCGTTGTGGAGGTGTATAGTCAGGTCGATCAGGTGATGGCTCTGGGTGAGGTGATGGCTCTCGAAGTGGAGGCTGCTCATCATCCGTGTCATCAAAAAAACGCTTACTAGCTTGCCACCAATCAGTGGCAAGCTCAGCTTCCGTGGGTGTCAGCCTCTGTAATGGAGTGTTGGACTCCTAACAATATAAAAGCTCAAACAAAGTTAAACGTGTACTAGTAATAACTTGTTTATAAACATATGGTAGTATTTGTGTTAACTTACATTATTTATTGTCGTATACGGTAGTAAATCTTCCCATTGCTGCAAGGTCCGTTTCCTCTTTCAGGAAATAGCCCTAGGAATATCATTAGAAGTTTTTAATGCATATGTCTGCATGGTGGGAAAGGCCTCAAATATCCAAATCTACAAACAATATAATAACAAACATTAGTAATTGTTAAATAATAATTAATTATAATTTTGGAAATAATATATAAAAATTCTTACCTTAAAGGCCCAAATAAAGCCTGACAAAGTGTATTTGGAACCATCGCCACGCAAACTTTTTCGATCATCAAAAGCAGACGACAACTTATTCCATTTAGCTTTCCATAGATACAAACCCCACGGAAATATGTTCCATGCATTTAGGTCCTCTACCAATTTAATTAGATCATTAGGAATAGGTTGTCTGGCATCTCTGCCTAAAAAACCGGCATGCAAAAGTATTAGAAGGCATACTCGGACAACATCGACGTCATCCATCCGAGTAAAACCATCTTTCTTATTCAATAATCTCGTCAAGTCTTCCACATGTAAATTCGGCTTCTCCATTGACAGCTCAGGAAAAACCCGGGATAACCATAATAGGCGGTTAATATGTCTAGTTTACCGACCTACATCATCGTGTCCGAAGCGTAGACAGGTGATTAAGCAAAACTCCTCCCGCCCAAAACACGTATACGCCGGTGGAAAATCAAACCATATCTCTTCATCACGACGTTGTATAGTCTCTGGTAGATCGCTAGTCATGGTTTGAAGAAACAGATGGGTCAACATAGCATCTCCACCCGGATGTTGTACTTTCAGCCATGGCCCGAAGCAAGTATCCTCAAATATTTTTCTTTGTGCAGGTGAAAGCTTCGACGCAATTGTTTTGGCCAGGCTTAATTTATTTCTTAAGGTCAATTGAGCCGAATAAAAGTTCTACAAAAATAATAAACATACCAAGTTAGATATACCAAAAACTACACTGTGAAGATATACCAAGAACAATAAACATAAAGAGTAGTAGTTTATTCTTCAAACTTAAATTTGCAACACTGTGAATTTAGTATTTGTCTTTGTTTTTTTTGTTGAAGTAATGCAATTCATTCAAGTTTCAATTTGTAGAAGAAGAATAGTTTCTGAAACTTAAAATCGCAACACGAAAATGAAAATCGTAACACGAAAAAGACTATCGCAACGCGAATTTGACTATCGCAACGCGAAATGAAAATCGCAACGCGAAACTAAAATCGCATTGCGATTCTGTCATTGCGATTTTCATTTCGCGTTGCGATTCTCGGTTTCAAATACTAAAATTGAAACTTGAATGGATTGCATTACTTCAACCAAAAGACAAAACAAAGACATATACTAAATTCAGAGGGTTTAAAGACTAAACAATTTAGCAGTATTGGAAGCAATCGAATGAATTTAATAAGCAATCTAAATGAAATGGTTAATCTATTATTAAAATTACCAGTAAACTTATAATCAATTTCAATATGAAAAACCTAATAATAATGCAAAAATTTCAAAATAAAAATAATTAAAAAAAACTAACTATCGGTGGTTGATTTCGTTGATTTTCCATTTCTGACCGTGAATGATTGTGAGGGTGGCTCTGAGAGATGGAGATAGACGGATTTCGTCGGAGATGGGGACTGATTTAGTCGGAGTTGGGGACGGATGTCGCCTTAGAGAGTGAGAGATGGAGATGAGACTGAGTTGTGATTTAGGGTTTTAGGTTATGAGTTGCGATTACGGGATATACTTTGGACGGTTCAGTGTTCCGATATATTAATATTCGTGTTTGGAATTTGAAAAAAATACGCGTTGTGATAATAATGGCGCTTTGAAAATCGCATTGTGATAGTCAGCTTCGCGTTGCGACAGTCAGAATCGCGTTGCGATAGTCAGAATCTCGTTGTGATAGTCAGAATCGCGTTGCGATAGTCATACTCGCATTGCAATTTACATATTCGCATTGCGATAGTCGGAAAATCGCAATGCGATAGTCAGAATCGCGTTGCGAATCTGGAAACTGATTTGCGATACCGGAGATCGCGTTGCGAATTATCGATCGCATTGCGATTTAGTTGGTCATTTTGGCAAATCCAAAAAAAGTTGGTTAAAATCATATATTATAAGGCATTTTTTGTCACTGAAGTTATTTTCTCTATAATTTTTGGTAGATTTAGTTCTCTATTATAATTTTATTTTTTTAGCACAATGAGGTAGGGAATGGAGGCAAAATTATGGGATAATGGTGAAAAAAAATGAGGGAGATAATTTTATGAGAAACTATTTAGAAAAATATTGTGATTACTAATTTACTATACTAATATTAAAGTCGTCGACAATTGTTAATCCATTTGTTTATACTTTTAGGATTAAAATAAGAAAATTAAATCATAAGGGACCAACATGAGAAAAATACAAATACAGTGATTTCAAATGACTCATAACCATGATTATGGGCATCATTATCCATTGCTTAAACAACAAATCCTTCCATTTGGAATCCAAAAGATTATTTAATTATTATTTTTAAAAATCAACTCATTAATTACATTTCTCTGTTCTCAACTCATTGTTGCCATAAACAGCAAGAAAGCAGATGCTTTCTACCTCACAAACAATATGTACAGAAATGTTTTGGAAACGCTTTATTAGCAACCTCAATGAAAGATTAATACAGTAATTAGATCTTAATCCATCACTTCAGCATCTAAACAAAACCTAATGTTGACAGATGATCTGATTGGGTAAATTCTGCAAAACTAAAGAAATTTATGAAAACAAAATTGCTGGTAAAATAAATTCAGGGTAAATACCAGAAAGCAGTGATGGTGGAGAAGCTTGGAGCCGTAGCCATGGAAGCAATTGATCCAGCTGCAAAAACACACTGTATAATCCTCAAAACTAGGCTTGTCAATGTCCCTGGAGTTCCGGGAAATGCCCTCATTTTTTAGAAGAAATTATTTCACTAAATCTCCATAGCTCATTAAAAAAAGTACTTTTTCTAGAGAATAAGAAAGACCCAGAAACTGAAATTGGCAGCTCAGATGATAAACTTTCCCTGTTTCCCAGAGTTGAGAATTTGCAGAAACCCAGAAATCAAAAGAGAAATAAAAAAATACTATACAGCTTTGGTAATACCAGCAAAAAAGCATTGTCACTTTCCATTTTCATGATTTCAACAGTTTAACTACCCGACCCCTGAACTAAACTCAATGCTCGGTGGGTAAAAGTTTTGGACAAATCGCGAGTTTGGTCCTTTTACCATGTTTAAATTTTGAGTTATAATGTATGTACTATGTACGATGACTTGAAAGCAGGGATTTAAACAGCGTTCCGTCTTTGTAATTGCGCTTGTTATATAGTGATAGCAGTGTGTCCGAAATTTTGCCATATTATTCCATATCAAAGCAAAGTCAGTGTGTAATTATGTATTATACATCGTGTTACCATAATTAGAAGGCAGAACATCATACACTTATAACCATATCTATAAAAATTTATTCAAAAAGTAACTAAGAAGTAAGAACCATTATCTCTGCTGCAATTCTCAAGTTTCTTGGCTGCACTGATCTTATGTAGACCGATTTTCACAGCTTGAAATTCGGAAGTCCACCGGTACCATCGAGCCCTTTCGAGTAGTATTCCGACAAATAGTCCTTGATCAAGATATCTCTGTAGATCGGGGGATTGTTCTCAGACAACAAGTCCTTGATCGGTCCATAAAGTCTCGATCCATTTTCCGACATCCTCAAGAAACATGCCACCGATATCCTAGGCCCTGTTCGTTTCGCTAACACCCTGTGATTCACACTTTTGAACTTGTCGTTCGAGATGAGCTGTGGATTATAACAAGGAAACAACATGAATACAATGATTACCATGTCATGGATACAATATTCATGGGGATGAACTTGCCTGTAGAAGATCTCCAACATTAACAACCAAAGCTCCGGGTCTGCAGGGAACATCAACCCATTGATTCTGATGAAGAACTTGCAGACCACCCATTTGATCTTGGAGAAGAACGGTGATGATGTTACTGTCTTTGTGATTAGTGGTTGCCATTGTTAGTTCTGGTTGAGGACATGGAGGATAATAATGCCCCATAAGGAACATAAGATCAGCGCAACCCATATCTTTAAGGCAACCAGGGTTAACCCCAAGAGCCTCGGACAGGAGTTCAAGCAATGTGAATGACAATGTCATTACTTGCTTGGTGTAATCCATCACTATATCTCTGCAATACAATTTACAAAAAAAAAAAATCGATTATATCGAATATAAGTCCGGAAACTCGCACCTGAATTCGAGTAGCGCAATCTACAACAGCTTACCTGCAAACTTGAGGCAAATCTGCAGGTTGAAGAGGATTGTCACAAACCATGACACAACCCAAGCTGTCCCTCCAATTAGCAGCTTTGGATTTGAACAAATCGTAGTTGCTTAGATACAACACCTTGCGAGATGGATCGCGTGTATAAAACCCTTTCTTTATCTCAGTGTCTTGTTCATGAAACTTACGGATCCCATCAATCATTTCATCCAAAACACTGGCTGGAATCCCATGGTTGATGACTTGAAAGAAACCCCAATCCGCACAAGCACTTTCCACTTGCTTTATTAACTCGGCACGACGAGTTGAGTCTTCTTTGATGGCTTGGAGGTCCATGGTTGGAACACTGAGCTGGGAATTGGAAGAATCGGAGGGTTTTTCGAGGACAAAGTCTTGATCAATGAAGATACGAGGGATTTTTGTGATCCCTGAATCTACCAATCCTTTTACACCGGCTTTTGTATCGTCAAAAGCCTTTACTTCACTTTGGCGATCGTAATCTGCTTGAAGTTCACCAGTTTTTGAGCCCATCGTGTTGATATTGTCTGAATTTGTTAGTGTAGTAAGGCTGTTTTTGATCAAAGAAAAGTATTTGTTACAAATAGGATGAAGAGCTGAAGAAGACAAGCGACGTGCCCAAGGTCCACACGGCTCTGTAGTTGACTTGGCCAATCAAACTTGTCACTTTTAGATTACTAAATTCACATGTGCCTAAATTATTACTGGCCAACTTGCCCCTAATTTCAACTTGGAATTCGTCCTATAGTTTCAATAGTAGAAACAAATATTGTTCTCCTTGCATATTATCGTTCGAGTAGTTACTTTCGTGCTACAGACTATTCAAATCTTGTAGCACTAACAATTATTGAGAGGGGAAATCTTCCATCTTAGGAGGATTAGGAGCCATAAAGATGAAGAATGTATCTCTCCAATTGACTGTTATACCAGTATACAGATCGAAATTGCTGTTATAGACCACCGGTTTCGTATAATCACGAGTATAGTATTGCTTTTTCACTTCAACATCTTGCTCATAAAACCTCCTCACAGCATCCTTCATCTCCTCCAAGACACTAACAGGAATTCCCTGGTTGATCACCTGGAAAAACCTAAGTTTCCTTGACGCGTCCCCGACTTTATCCACTATTTCCTTTCGAGTAGTCGGATCTCCCTTCACTCCTTCAAGGGCTATGACCGGTATACTGAACTGGGAATCGTTTGAAACTGGGATTTTCTTGAGTTTACCTGGTGGTTGATGAAATATCTGAGGAACCTTCGTGATTCCACCGTCGACGAGGCCTTTAACACCGGCTTTTGTGTCGTCAAAAGCTTTGAGTTCGCTTGTTCTATTGTACCCAGCCATGTTGACTGTTTCCATTTCTTGTTGGATTACAAAGAGGAGGAAGGAGATGAATGATTATGAGGTGTTTACTTTTTTATGATAGGTATCAATGTTATTATCTTTGGGGACCCCATGAAGATATGGGCAGTGGTTAATATCACACCACCATTAATGGGGGTCTTTTTAGGCCTCGTTTTTTTAATCTTGTGATGCAACTTGGCACCAGTTGCACACCTCAAAGTCCAACCATGAATTATCATGTCCACATTTCTATACCATGAACATGTTTCCGGTTGCTTGTTTATCGCGGTTGCAGACGCAATAAATATTATATATAATAGACATAGGGTAAAAGTTGAAATTCTAAAATAACAATTCAACAAGCAACAGTATGTTCATAAACAGGGTACATGCAGCATAGATACACAGATACATGATAATCTTCTTTGTCTTGGAGAGTGCTGGTTCATATCCTGAAAGGCGTCAGTGCAGACTTTCCATCAAGGCCTTTCTTTTTGAAGAGAGTCATATACTCGATTACAGTAGTTTCCCTGTATTTCGGAGGATTATCGTCCGATAACAGCTCCTTTATAGGTCCATACAATCTCGGGTTTGGTTGAAAACTCGTGACAAAAAAACTTCCCACCGATACTCTAGGTCCGACGGAATTTGCCTGCACCCTATGCTCCACGCTTACAAGACTGTCATTCGATATAAGCTGAAATAAAAGCAGGACAAATCAGAAAATAAATCGATCAGTCGTTCAGTTCTAAATCTGATTGTTTAATGTAATTTTCAGGACTTGCCTGTAGAAGATCTCCTATGTTAACGACCAAAGCCCCGGGGACTGGAGGTACATCAATCCATTGATTTTCATGAAGAACTTGGAGACCACCAATATGGTCTTGTAGAAGCACCGTGAGGAAGCTATTATCAGCGTGCTTGCTTGTCCCTAGAGTCAAATCCGGCTGCGGACATGCTGGAGCGTAATGGCAGAGCTGACTGAGACCCTTTGCACAATCTATCTTTAGCAGATGATCAGGGTTCAACCCCAGAGCTTCTGATATCAGCTCAAAGAGCAAATGACCCAAACTCATGATGCGGTCCGTGTACTCCACCATCATATCCCTACACCAAAATCATACTGGTAAAAAGTTCATAAAATTTCAGGGTTTATATATGTATATACCTTAATGGTTCAGGCAACTCTTCCCGGTTAAGAGGATCAGGAGCCATGATGCAACAAATTGAGTCTCTCCAGTTAGCTGCTGGCGCAGTAAAGAGATGGATATTGCTATTATGAATAATTTTTTTCGTAAAATCACGAGTGTAGAATTGTTTTTTAAGCTCGACATCTTGCTCGAAAAACCTACGTACACTAGTCTTCATCTCCTCAAGAACACTCACAGGTATTCCATGGTTAATGATCTGAAAAAACCCCATTCCTTTGATGCAGTACGGACTTCTTCGACTATCGACTTCCGAGTGCTACGATACTCCTTCACTCCTTGAAGATCTATAACAGGGATAGTATACTGGGAGGCAGTTGGAACATAAGTTTCCCCGGAGGTATCCGGTGGCTGATGAAACATTCGAGGAACCTCAGAAGTTCCAGCATCTACAAGCCCTTTGACACCGGCTTTTGTCTCGTCGAAAGCTTTGATTTCACTTGCTCGATCATATTCTCGTTCGAAAATGACTTCACCTGACTTGGCTACCGCCATTTGTTTTCCTCTGGTATTTGAATGTAACCTCTGTATAAACAGTCTAGGTGAATGCCTGAACGACAAACACTAAAATTAGAATAAATAGAAGGGAAACTAAAGATAACAACCAAAGAGTGATGGTGACGAGAAATTATAAACAAGGAAAATGTTTGTGATTTCATTTTTCCATGATAATCACGTTGGAGATATTATATTATATAAATTTTAACACGTGTAATTATCCAAAAAAAATTAACACGTGAATGATTTTGTTTATTTAGCTTTGGACATATTCTTATCACTAATTTTGACTAATCTTACCAATCTTACTCATCGTTGAAGATAACAATATGTACAAAAATGTTTTGGAAATGCTTTATTAGCAACCTCAATGAAAGATTAATTCAGTAATTAGATCTTAATCCATCATTTCAGCATCTAAACAAAACTTAATGTTGACAGATCATCTGCTTGGCTAAATTCTGCAAAACTAAAGAAATTTATGAAAACAAAATTGCTGGTAAAATAAATTCAGGTGATGGTGGAGAAGCTTGGAGCCGTAGCCATGGAAGCAATTGATCCAGCTGCAAAAACACACTGTATAATCCTCAAAACTAGGCTTGTCAATGTCCCTGGAGTTCCGGGAAATGCCCTCATTTTTTAGAAGAAATTATTTCACTAAATCTCCATAGCTCATTAAAAAAAGTACTTTTTCAAGAGAATAAGAAAGACCCAGAAACTGAAATTGGCAGCTCAGATGATAAACTTTCCCTGTTTCCCAGAGTTGAGAATTTGCAGAAACCCAGAAATCAAAAGAGAAATAAAAAAAATACTATACAGCTTTGGTAATACCAGCAAAAAAGCATTGTCACTTTCCATTTTCATGATTTCAACAGTTTAACTACCCGACCCCTGAACTAAACTCAATGCTCGGTGGGTAAAAGTTTTGGACAAATCGCGAGTTTGGTCCTTTTACCATGTTTAAATTTTGAGTTATAATGTATGTACTATGTACGATGACTTGAAAGCAGGGATTTAAACAGCGTTCCGTCTTTGTAATTGCGCTTGTTATATAGTGATAGCAGTGTGTCCGAAATTTTGCCATATTATTCCATATCAAAGCAAAGTCAGTGTGTAATTATGTATTATACATCGTGTTACCATAATTAGAAGGCAGAACATCATACACTTATAACCATATCTATAAAAATTTATTCAAAAAGTAACTAAGAAGTAAGAACCATTATCTCTGCTGCAATTCTCAAGTTTCTTGGCTGCACTGATCTTATGTAGACCGATTTTCACAGCTTGAAATTCGGAAGTCCACCGGTACCATCGAGCCCTTTCGAGTAGTATTCCGACAAATAGTCCTTGATCAAGATATCTCTGTAGATCGGGGATTGTTCTCAGACAACAAGTCCTTGATCGGTCCATAAAGTCTCGATCCATTTTCCGACATCCTCAAGAAACATGCCACCGATATCCTAGGCCCTGTTCGTTTCGCTAACACCCTGTGATTCACACTTTTGAACTTGTCGTTCGAGATGAGCTGTGGATTATAACAAGGAAACAACATGAATACAATGATTACCATGTCATGGATACAATATTCATGGGGATGAACTTGCCTGTAGAAGATCTCCAACATTAACAACCAAAGCTCCGGGTCTGCAGGGAACATCAACCCATTGATTCTGATGAAGAACTTGCAGACCACCCATTTGATCTTGGAGAAGAACGGTGATGATGTTACTGTCTTTGTGATTAGTGGTTGCCATTGTTAGTTCTGGTTGAGGACATGGAGGATAATAATGCCCCATAAGGAACATAAGATCAGCGCAACCCATATCTTTAAGGCAACCAGGGTTAACCCCAAGAGCCTCGGACAGGAGTTCAAGCAATGTGAATGACAATGTCATTACTTGCTTGGTGTAATCCATCACTATATCTCTGCAATACAATTTACAAAAAAAAAAAAATCGATTATATCGAAAATAAGTCCGGAAACTCGCACCTGAATTTGAGTAGCGTAATCTACAACAGCTTACCTGCAAACTTTAGGCAAATCTGCAGGTTGAAGAGGATTGTCACAAACCATGACACAACCCAAGCTGTCCCTCCAATTAGCAGTTTTGGATTTGAACAAATCGTAGTTGCTTAGATACAACACCTTGCGAGATGGATCGCGTGTATAAAACCCTTTCTTTATCTCAGTGTCTTGTTCATGAAACTTACGGATCCCATCAATCATTTCATCCAAAACACTGGCTGGAATCCCATGGTTGATGACTTGAAAGAAACCCCAATCCGCACAAGCACTTTCCACTTGCTTTATTAACTCGGCACGACGAGTTGAGTCTTCTTTGATGGCTTGGAGATCTATGGTTGGAACACTGAGCTGGGAATTGGAAGAATCGGAGGGTTTTTCGAGGACAAAGTCTTGATCAATGAAGATACGAGGGATTTTTGTAATCCCTGAATCTACCAATCCTTTTACACCGGCTTTTGTATCGTCAAAAGCCTTTACTTCACTTTGGCGATCGTAATCTGCTTGAAGTTCACCAGTTTTTGAGCCCATCGTGTTGATATTGTCTGAATTTGTGACGCCAGACAGAATAGTGATTATCCTGCAAGCGCTCCAACAGATGATTCACAAGAGAAGATTCGTTAAAAAAAATTAGAAAAAAAAATCTCTAGGGTTTAATAAAATATTATAAAATCAAATAATCCCAAATCCCAAAATCAGTCCACAAGCCGGACTGTTATAGCCAAAAATCGTCTTTATTCGAATTTTGTCAAAAATAGCAAAATCCCGAAAATCACTCTAAATTGAAATTCGAAATAAAATAAGCAATCTCCAAAAAATCCGGCCTAAATCGGATTTAAATTGACAATCGAAATATTACCATAAATAGTAAAAAATATCTAAATCTAGTGATTCGGAGGGGAAAACGGCAGAATTTGAGGTTGAAAAAAAGGCCAAATGGAGCATAGCTCGATGTGGAGAGCGTGCGCGATGAAAAGAGCTTTTCGGATTTGGGTCTTATGCGCGATTCTGACACCTGTAACCAAAGTTATGGGCAAAAGACTGAAACATACTCAAAACGACCCCAATGAGGAACATGTCACAATCAATTCCCGCCTTTGCGCTGATCTGCCAATTCATGGTATCTCAGCGCCATCAAGGTGCAATCTGACAGCTCAGCATCATCTGTCTCGGATCCCCCTGCATCAGTCACCCCGGGTTGGAAAGAACTCGTCCTCGAGTTCAGAGTAGTGTCATCAAAATCCACAAAACAATGACTCAGGTGCTTCACATTAAAGACATCAGAAGTCTTCAAGTGGCTGGGAAGGCGCAACCTGTAAGCATTATCATTGATCTTCTGCACGACCTCACAAGGTCCAATCTTCCGATCCTTAAGCTTATTATACTCACCAACAGGAAAACGATCACGAGTTAATACAGCCCAAACAAAATCACCAACATCAAAAAGCACATGACGACGATGATTGTCAACCCGAGTCTTGTACTTGGTATTGCTCTCATGAATGGTTTGTTTCACCTGCTCATGGATACCCCGAAGATACTTTGCCATCTCATCTGCTTTAGGACTGAAACGACCTATACGTGGAATAGGGGCTAAGTCCAGCACCCCGGATGAGTTCTGACCATAGACAATCTCAAATGGGCTTAAACCTGTGGTTCTGTTTTTTGATCTGTTGTAGGCAAATTCTGCCTGAGGCAATGCCAAATCCCACTGCTTCGGCTTCGTTCCTACCAAACACCTCAAGAGGTTTCCCAAACTTCGGTTCACCACCTCGGTCTGGCCATCCGTCTGGGGGTGGTAGGCCCTACTGAAATTCAACTGCGTTCCCAGTTTCCCCCACAGGCTCTTCCAGAAATGACTGATGAACTTAGTATCACGATCTGAAGTGATGGATCGAGGAACACCATGTAAACGCACAATCTCCTTGAAATAGAGATGGGCAATCCGGTCAGCATCCATAGTCTTTCTGCAAGCTACAAAATGAGCCATCTTGGAAAACCTGTCAACCACAAAAAAGATAGAATCCGAGGCCCTTTGGGTGCGGGGTAAGCCTAGTACAAAATCCATGCTGACATCAAACCAAGGAGCTTCATGAACAGGTAAGGGAGTGTACAAGCCCGCATTGGTGAGAACTCCCTTAGACCGCTGGCACACATAACAACGGTCCACATAATGGGCCACATCACTAGTCAACTTGGGCCAATAAAAGTAAGAAGAGATAAGGGCCAAGGTCTTATCTCGGCCAAAGTGTCCCTCATTATGGAGTTCACTTATAATTTGATGCCTTAATGAATAATCTGGAATGCACAACTGTAATCCACGAAACAGATACCCATTATGCAAAACAAAATCATGACGGTGACCCTCAGTTACCTCCTGAAATATCCTTCCAAAGGAAGGATCAGTTGCATACATATCTGTGAACGTCTCGAAGCCTGCAACTTTAGCACTCATGGTGGTGAGAAGTAAGGTACGATGGCTTAGGGCATCTGCGACGCGGTTCAAACTCCCTGCTTGGTGCCTCAGCGTAAAAGTGAATTCTTGCAAGTATGCCACCCACTTGGCATGACGTCTACTCAGCTTGTGTTGTCCATTGATGTACTTCAAGGCCTCATGATCGGTAAACAGAATAAACTCCTTCTGTACTAGGTAGTGACGCCAATGCTTCAGGGACTCAACTATGGCATAGAACTCCAGATCATAAGTGGAATAATTTTTCTTTGATCCCGATAGTTTTTCACTGAAAAAAGCATCCGGACGATCTGCCTGACTCAGAACACCACCAATGCCAACGCCAGATGCATCACAATTTACCTCGAACACTTTGTCAAAATCTGGAAGTGCCAAAACTGGAGCCTCGGTCATCTTTTGCTTGACCAGTTGAAAACTGGCCTCTGCCTCCTCAGACCAATGGAAATCACGCCTCTTGAGGCACTATGTGATAAGGGCGATCAGAGTACTGAAATTTATAATGAATCGGCGGTAAAAAGAAGCCAAGCCATGGAAACTTCTGATGTCATGTAAGGTCTTTGGTCTTGGCCACTCCAAGACTGCATCTACCTTTGACTGATCTGCATGAACACCATCAGTAGACACAACAAAACCAAGAAAAGTCACAGAAGTAGTGAATAAATAACACTTCTTTTGATTGACAAACAAGCACTCCATTTTCAGCATCTCAAAAATAGCACGGAGGTGATCGAAGTGTGAAGTCCATGTCGGACTATAAACGAGGATATCATAGAAGTAAACTACAACAAATTTCCCCATAAAGGGCCGCAAGACCTGATGCATAAATCTCATGAACGTACTGGGCGCATTGGATAGCCCGAAAGGCATGACCATCCACTCATACAACCCTTGTGGCGTTTTAAACGCCGTCTTCCACTCATCTCCAGGTCTTATTCTGATTTGGTGGTAACCGCTCTTAAGGTCAATTTTTGAGAAGACCTTAGAACCAGATAGTTGATCCAACATATCATCTAGACGGGGAATTAGAAACTGGTACTTAACTGTAATTCTGTTGATCGCTCGGCTGTCAACACACATACGTCAAGAACCATATTTCTTTGGCACTAGCAGAGCAGGGACTGCACATGGGCTCATACTCTCTCGGATATAGCCCCTCTCCAACAACTCTTCCACATGTCGCTGCAACTCTTCAGCCTTCTTGGGACTGAGGCGATATGCTGGTCGATTTGGTAAACTTGACCCAGGAACAAGGTCAATTTGATGCTGAATATCCCTCATAGGTGGTAGCCCAGGAGGAAGATCCTCTAGCATCAAGTTAGAGAATTCTGCTAGCAGCCGCTGTACTTCTACTGGTAAATTTGCATCCACGTCTACTGCATTGTTCTCGCAAGGTAGTAAGGCATAGACCACGTCACCATGCTCAATCTCATCTAAAAACCTGGACATAGAAAGCAGAGTAGTATTATGGGTTACTGGGGTAGGAGTGATTCCTTCCCGCCGGGGTGCCAACACAATCTTTTTTCCCTTGATGCTAAGGGAATATGTATTCTTCCGTCCATCATGAATGACACTGCGATCATACTGCCAGGGTCGACCCAATAATATATGACACGCATCCATAGACACAACATCACACCAGGCATTATCAAAATATTTTCTACAAATTGAAAAAGACACGAGGCATCGCCTATCAATTGTTACCTCACTGCCTTTATTTAGCCATGACAGCTTGTATGGCTTAGGATGACGGTCCGTCTTCAACTGCAATTTCTGGACAACCTCCTCGGACACTACATTCTCACAACTGTCGCTGTCAATGATCATTTTGCAGACTTTATCTGCAACTGTGCAGGTCGTGTGGAAAATATTGGTTCTCAACCAATCGTCCCCTGAATCGCCCTTGGGAGTAAGTAGACTCTTGCGAACGACCAGAGTCTCATGACCATGTCCATACAACACATCATCAGTCTCATCATCATCATACTCGGGTTCGCCAATCTCCTCAGTCTCGTCTTCCGCGTTTTCCTCAATCAACAAATTTTTGCCCTTTTGACTAGCAGGCTTCCTGCAATCAGTCGCCCTATGCCCTTGTTCACCACAACGAAAACATCTAATAGTAGGGTTAGAATTACCCTACGGTGGCTGTTGAGCAGGACGGGAATCCTGAGGACGAACTGGTCGACTGTTGTGATCGTTCCTGATCACTGGTCTCCTGTTTTGCTGTTTTTCAACAGCAAGTGCACGCTGGTAAGCTTCCGAAACACTTCACAGTGAATGAAGGCTGAGGACATCTTGTAAGGGCTGGCATAAACCCCCCAAATACCGAGCCACCATTTGCTCCTCCGTCTCAGATAAATCGTTCCAGGCGACCAATTGGTAAAACTCCTCCGTGTAATCATCGACTGATCGTGCGCCCTGCCTCAATGCATGAAGTCGCTGAAACAAGGTTTACGTGTAGCCGAAGGGAAGGAAGTGACCCTTCATCTTCTTCTTCATATTCTCCCAATCAATGATCTTGGCCTTGCCCTGTCTTTCTCGTGAACGTCGCAAACTGTTCCCACCACGCAGATACTCTGCCCTTGAGTTTGATGGCGATCAGTTTCACTTTCACACGAACGGGGACTTCCTTATATTCAAAAATACGCTCTACTTTATTAATCCAATCCACGAATCCCTCGGCCTATAACGTACCAGAAAACTCATGGAGATCGACCCGAAAACCGAGGTCTCCATGACACTCTTCCCGACTACGGTGTTCCCGGAATAGAGCACGATTGTGATATAGGTTTTCGAAAGCGAAATTGGTATCGTGATCAGAGGCCTCACGATCCTCGAAATCCTACGCCGCCAGGCGCTAGGTTAATTCTGCGACTTGCCTCTGTAAATCCGCAATCATCACATCCTGAACGTTGCGATCACGGCGTTGGGCTTCCTCATTCAAAACCTGCTCACGACGATCACGACCATGACCTCCAACCATTGAAACTGGGGAAATTTCCCAGGAAGATGTTGAAGCTCTGACACCAACTGACGCCAGACAGAATAGTGATTATCCTGCAAGCGCTCCAACAGATGATTCACAAGAGAAAATTCGCCCAAAAAAAAACCAGAGAAAAAAAAAGTCTCTAGGGTTTAATAAAATATTATAAAATCAAACAATCCCAAATCCCAAAATCAGTCCACAAGCCGGACTGTTATAGCCAAAAATCGTCTTTATTCGAATTTTGCCAAAAATAGCAAAATCCCGAAAATCACTCTAAATTGAAATTTGAAATAAAATAACTCCAAAAAATCCGGCCTAAATCAGATTTAAATTGACTTCCTAATTGACAATCGAAATATTACTATAAATAGTAAAAAATATATAAATCTAGTGATTCGGAGGGGGAAACGGCAGAATTTGAGGTTGCAAAAAAGGCCAAATGAGCATAGCTCGATGTGGAGAGCGTGCGCGTCGAAAAGAGCTTTCCGGATTGGGGTCTTATGCGCGATTTTGACACCTGTAGCCAAAGTTATGGCCAAAAGACTGAAACATACTCAAAACGACCCCAATGAGGAACATGTCACAATCAATTCCCGCCTTTGCGCTGATCTGTCAATTCATGGTATCTCAGCGCCATCAAGGTGCAATTTGACAGCTTAACATCATCTGTCTCGGATCTTCCTGCATCAATTTGTTAGTGTAGTAAGGCTGTTTTTGATCAAAGAAAAGTATTTGTTACAAATAGGATGAAGAGCTGAAGAAGACAAGCGACGTGCCCAAGGTCCACACGGCTCTGTAGTTGACTTGGCCAATCAAACTTGTCACTTTTAGATTACTAAATTCACATGTGCCAAAATTATTACTGGCCAACTTGCCCCTAATTTCAACTTGGAATTCGTCCTATAGTTTCAATAGTAGAAACAAATATTGTTCTCCTTGCATATTATCGTTCGAGTAGTTACTTTCGTGCTACAGACTATTCAAATCTTGTAGCACTAACAATTATTGAGAGGGGAAATCTTCCATCTTAGGAGAATTAGGAGCCATAAAGATGAAGAATGTATCTCTCCAATTGACTGTTAAACCAGTATACAGATCGAAATTGCTGTTATAGACCACCGGTTTCGTATAATCACGAGTATAGTATTGCTTTTTCACTTCAACATCTTGCTCATAAAACCTCCTCACAGCATCCTTCATCTCCTCCAAGACACTAACAGGAATTCCCTGGTTGATCACCTGGAAAAACCTAAGTTTCCTTGACGCGTCCCCGACTTTATCCACTATTTCCTTTCGAGTAGTCGGATCTCCCTTCACTCCTTCAAGGTCTATGACCGGTATACTGAACTGGGAATCGTTTGAAACTGGGATTTTCTTGAGTTTACCTGGTGGTTGATGAAATATCTGAGGAACCTTCGTGATTCCACCGTCGACGAGGCCTTTAACACCGGCTTTTGTGTCGTCAAAAGCTTTGAGTTCGCTTGTTCTATCGTACCCAGCCATGTTGACTGTTTCCATTTCTTGTTGGATTACAAAGAGGAGGAAGGAGATGAATGATTATGAGGTGTTTACTTTTTTATGATAGGTATCAATGTTATTATCTTTGGGGACCCCATGAAGATATGGGCAGTGGTTAATATCACACCACCATTAATGGGGGTCTTTTTAGGCCTCGTTTTTTTAATCTTGTGATGCAACTTGGCACCAGTTGCACACCTCAAAGTCCAACCATGAATTATCATGTCCACATTTCTATACCATGAACATGTTTCCGGTTGCTTGTTTATCGCGGTTGCAGACGCAATAAATATTATATATAATAGACATAGGGTAAAAGTTGAAATTCTAAAATAACAATTCAACAAGCAACAGTATGTTCATAAACAGGGTACATGCAGCATAGATACACAGATACATGATAATCTTCTTTGTCTTGGAGAGTGCTGGTTCATATCCTGAAAGGCGTCAGTGCAGACTTTCCATCAAGGCCTTTCTTTTTGAAGAGAGTCATATACTCGATTACAGTAGTTTCCCTGTATTTCGGAGGATTATCGTCCGATAACAGCTCCTTTATAGGTCCATACAATCTCGGGTTTGGTTGAAAACTCGTGACAAAAAAACTTCCCACCGATACTATAGGTCCGACGGAATTTGCCTGCACCCTATGCTCCACGCTTACAAGACTGTCATTCGATATAAGCTGAAATAAAAGCAGGACAAATCAGAAAATAAATCGATCAGTCGTTCAGTTCTAAATCTGATTGTTTAATGTAATTTTCAGGACTTGCCTGTAGAAGATCTCCTATGTTAACGACCAAAGCCCCGGGGACTGGAGGTACATCAATCCATTGATTTTCATGAAGAACTTGGAGACCACCAATATGGTCTTGTAGAAGCACCGTGAGGAAGCTATTATCAGCGTGCTTGCTTGTCCCTAGAGTCAATCCGGCTGCGGACATGCTGGAGCGTAATGGCAGAGCTGACTGAGACCCTTTGCACAATCTATCTTTAGCAGATGATCAGGGTTCAACCCCAGAGCTTCTGATATCAGCTCAAAGAGCAAATGACCCAAACTCATGATGCGGTCCGTGTACTCCACCATCATATCCCTACACCAAAATCATACTGGTAAAAAGTTCATAAAATTTCAGGGTTTATATATGTATATACCTTAATGGTTCAGGCAACTCTTCCCGGTTAAGAGGATCAGGAGCCATGATGCAACAAATTGAGTCTCTCCAGTTAGCTGCTGGCGCAGTAAAGAGATGGATATTGCTATTATGAATAATTTTTTTCGTAAAATCACGAGTGTAGAATTGTTTTTTAAGCTCGACATCTTGCTCGAAAAACCTACGTACACTAGTCTTCATCTCCTCAAGAACACTCACAGGTATTCCATGGTTAATGATCTGAAAAAAACCCCATTCCTTTGATGCAGTACGGACTTCTTCGACTATCGACTTCCGAGTGCTACGATACTCCTTCACTCCTTGAAGATCTATAACAGGGATAGTATACTGGGAGGCAGTTGGAACATAAGTTTCCCCGGAGGTATCCGGTGGCTGATGAAACATTCGAGGAACCTCAGAAGTTCCAGCATCTACAAGCCCTTTGACACCGGCTTTTGTCTCGTCGAAAGCTTTGATTTCACTTGCTCGATCATATTCTCGTTCGAAAATGACTTCACCTGACTTGGCTACCGCCATTTGTTTTCCTCTGGTATTTGAATGTAACCTCTGTATAAACAGTCTAGGTGAATGCCTGAACGACAAACACTAAAATTAGAATAAATAGAAGGGGAAACTAAAGATAACAACCAAAAGAGTGATGGTGACGAGAAATTATAAACAAGGAAAATGTTTGTGATTTCATTTTTCCATGATAATCACGTTGGAGATATTATATTATATAAATTTTAACACGTGTAATTATCCAAAAAAAATTAACACGTGAATGATTTTGTTTATTTAGCTTTGGACATATTCTTATCACTAATTTTGACTAATCTTACCAATCTTACTCATCGTTGAAGATAACAATATGTACAAAAATGTTTTGGAAATGCTTTATTAGCAACCTCAATGAAAGATTAATTCAGTAATTAGATCTTAATCCATCATTTCAGCATCTAAACAAAACTTAATGTTGACAGATCATCTGCTTGGCTAAATTCTGCAAAACTAAAGAAATTTATGAAAACAAAATTGCTGGTAAAATAAATTCAGGTGATGGTGGAGAAGCTTGGAGCCGTAGCCATGGAAGCAATTGATCCAGCTGCAAAAACACACTGTATAATCCTCAAAACTAGGCTTGTCAATGTCCCTGGAGTTCCGGGAAATGCCCTCATTTTTTAGAAGAAATTATTTCACTAAATCTCCATAGCTCATTAAAAAAAGTACTTTTTCAAGAGAATAAGAAAGACCCAGAAACTGAAATTGGCAGCTCAGATGATAAACTTTCCCTGTTTCCCAGAGTTGAGAATTTGCAGAAACCCAGAAATCAAAAGAGAAATAAAAAAAATACTATACAGCTTTGGTAATACCAGCAAAAAAGCATTGTCACTTTCCATTTTCATGATTTCAACAGTTTAACTACCGACCCCTGAACTAAACTCAATGCTCGGTGGGTAAAAGTTTTGGACAAATCGCGAGTTTGGTCCTTTTACCATGTTTAAATTTTGAGTTATAATGTATGTACTATGTACGATGACTTGAAAGCAGGGATTTAAACAGCGTTCCGTCTTTGTAATTGCGCTTGTTATATAGTGATAGCAGTGTGTCCGAAATTTTGCCATATTATCAAAGCAAAGTCAGTGTGTAATTATGTATTATACATCGTGTTACCATAATTAGAAGGCAGAACATCATACACTTATAACCATATCTATAAAAATTTATTCAAAAAGTAACTAAGAAGTAAGAACCATTATCTCTGCTGCAATTCTCGAGTTTCTTGGCTGCACTGATCTTATGTAGACCGATTTTCACAGCTTGAAATTCGGAAGTCCACCGGTACCATCGAGCCCTTTCGAGTAGTATTCCGACAAATAGTCCTTGATCAAGATATCTCTGTAGATCGGGGGATTGTTCTCAGACAACAAGTCCTTGATCGGTCCATAAAGTCTCGATCCATTTTCCGACATCCTCAAGAAACAGGCCACCGATATCCTAGGCCCTGTTCGTTTCGCTAACACCCTGTGATTCACACTTTTGAACTTGTCGTTCGAGATGAGCTGTGGATTATAACAAAGAAACAACATGAATACAATGATTACCATGTCATGGATACAATATTCATGGGGATGAACTTGCCTGTAGAAGATCTCCAACATTAACAACCAAAGCTCCGGGTCTGCAGGGAACATCAACCCATTGATTCTGATGAAGAACTTGCAGACCACCCATTTGATCTTGGAGAAGAACGGTGATGATGTTACTGTCTTTGTGATTAGTGGTTGCCATTGTTAGTTCTGGTTGAGGACATGGAGGATAATAATGCCCCATAAGGAACATAAGATCAGCGCAACCCATATCTTTAAGGCAACCAGGGTTAACCCCAAGAGCCTCGGACAGGAGTTCAAGCAATGTGAATGACAATGTCATTACTTGCTTGGTGTAATCCATCACTATATCTCTGCAATACAATTTACAAAAAAAAAAAATCGATTATATCGAATATAAGTCCGGAAACTCGCACCTGAATTCGAGTAGCGCAATCTACAACAGCTTACCTGCAAACTTGAGGCAAATCTGCAGGTTGAAGAGGATTGTCACAAACCATGACACAACCCAAGCTGTCCCTCCAATTAGCAGCTTTGGATTTGAACAAATCGTAGTTGCTTAGATACAACACCTTGCGAGATGGATCGCGTGTATAAAACCCTTTCTTTATCTCAGTGTCTTGTTCATGAAACTTACGGATCCCATCAATCATTTCATCCAAAACACTGGCTGGAATCCCATGGTTGATGACTTGAAAGAAACCCCAATCCGCACAAGCACTTTCCACTTGCTTTATTAACTCGGCACGACGAGTTGAGTCTTCTTTGATGGCTTGGAGGTCCATGGTTGGAACACTGAACTGGGAATTGGAAGAATCGGAGGGTTTTTCGAGGACAAAGTCTTGATCAATGAAGATACGAGGGATTTTTGTGATCCCTGAATCTACCAATCCTTTTACACCGGCTTTTGTATCGTCAAAAGCCTTTACTTCACTTTGGCGATCGTAATCTGCTTGAAGTTCACCAGTTTTTGAGCCCATCGTGTTGATATTGTCTGAATTTGTTAGTGTAGTAAGGCTGTTTTTGATCAAAGAAAAGTATTTGTTACAAATAGGATGAAGAGCTGAAGAAGACAAGCGACGTGCCCAAGGTCCACACGGCTCTGTAGTTGACTTGGCCAATCAAACTTGTCACTTTTAGATTACTAAATTCACATGTGCCTAAATTATTACTGGCCAACTTGCCCCTAATTTCAACTTGGAATTCGTCCTATAGTTTCAATAGTAGAAACAAATATTGTTCTCCTTGCATATTATCGTTCGAGTAGTTACTTTCGTGCTACAGACTATTCAAATCTTGTAGCACTAACAATTATTGAGAGGGGAAATCTTCCATCTTAGGAGAATTAGGAGCCATAAAGATGAAGAATGTATCTCTCCAATTGACTGTTAAACCAGTATACAGATCGAAATTGCTGTTATAGACCACCGGTTTCGTATAATCACGAGTATAGTATTGCTTTTTCACTTCAACATCTTGCTCATAAAACCTCCTCACAGCATCCTTCATCTCCTCCAAGACACTAACAGGAATTCCCTGGTTGATCACCTGGAAAAACCTAAGTTTCCTTGACGCGTCCCCGACTTTATCCACTATTTCCTTTCGAGTAGTCGGATCTCCCTTCACTCCTTCAAGGTCTATGACCGGTATACTGAACTGGGAATCGTTTGAAACTGGGATTTTCTTGAGTTTACCTGGTGGTTGATGAAATATCTGAGGAACCTTGTGATTCCACCGTCGACGAGGCCTTTAACACCGGATTTTGTGTCGTCAAAAGCTTTGAGTTCGCTTGTTCTATTGTACCCAGCCATGTTGACTGTTTCCATTTCTTGTTGGATTACAAAGAGGAGGAAGGAGATGAATGATTATGAGGTGTTTACTTTTTTATGATAGGTATCAATGTTATTATCTTTGGGGACCCCATGAAGATATGGGCAGTGGTTAATATCACA